AGGCACTCTGATGGATATGGAGCCTCTCCTCTCACCCTCTCTTCAACCTTGTTCTCTATCTGTTCTCATGCAGACCTTGTGTTGCACCTGCCACATCCTGTCCCTCACATCATAGAGTTACACCCAGCCCAACCCCAATCCATTGTGGATCTGTCAGGGTCCCAGCAGGAAACCCACTGCATACTCAAGATAATTGGAGGAGGGTTAATAAAGGGACTATTTACAAAGGAGTGGGTAAGGTCTAATTTACTACCTTGGATTAGTAACAGTGGGCTGCTACCCGCCCTAGTAGGCCTGAGGAGACAGAAGCAGGGAGGGTTACCTGAGTTAGGAAGCTCATCCACTTTCTCCTCTGAAACCAGAAAAGAGAGGGTTTACTAGGGCCTTCCCCACACTGACACCCTAAGGCTCCAGTTAGCACTGCCAGAAGTGGGAGAGATGGGGTCACAGGCTATTTAGCTGAGTCTGGGTGCAATCTCGGAGAATACAGTTTTTCTCGAGTTCTCAAATGAGGTGAAGGCTAAAGTGCCTGCTAATTCTAAGATTTGATGGTTCAAAAGAACTTTAGAGGTCTTCTCAGTCCCTACTAAACATAACCCTCAACTATTCAATGGGTTATTGAGCTCTTGTGACTCAGACTACCCCAGTCATGTCCCCAACAAGAAGCCAAATTGAGTTATTTTGTCTTTTAGGTTCATGTATTGGTCTGACTGGGGGAACCAGGCCAAGATTGAGAAATCTGGGCTCAACGGTGTGGACCGGCAAACACTAGTGTCAGACAATATTGAATGGCCCAACGGAATCACCCTGGGTGAGCCTTGCCTTTCCTGGGTTGGGGGCCTATTCTAGTGCCTTGTCCTGATCACTGTCTGGAACTTCATAAGTCTTGTTTCTGGGTCCTCTCATGGTGCCAGTGACTTTGTTTCCTGATGGTTGCCCTAGGCTGGCCTCAGTGTGAGGCCTAGAAATGTGGGCAGGGAGGGGCACAAAGGAACAGAGCTCCACATTGGGGTCCCAGGTTCAAGACCTGATCCTGCTTCCTTCCCAAGATCTGCTGAGCCAACGCTTGTACTGGGTAGACTCCAAGCTACACCAACTGTCCAGCATTGATTTCAGTGGAGGCAACAGAAAGATGCTGATCTCCTCCACTGACTTCCTGAGCCACCCTTTTGGGATAGCCGTGTTTGAGGTGAGTGCTGTAAGGAGAGGCATGGGCCCACTAGGAAGCTGAAGCCTAGAAAATGCTTGTTCAAATAGGATGAGTCCCTGAGACTTGTTCAAATGAAAACAGGAACAGGGAAACCAACTGATTTGTTTGTATACAATCTGTGAGCTGCCTGCACACAAAGGCTCTGCAGCCCACTCTCCACCTGGCAGCCTTTCCCCTGCTGTCTTCCCAAGACCCCTCTCTCAGAGCACTTCTCACAGGTGAGTTGCTAGGCGTGTATGTTTCCTCTCTATGCCCTCAGCACCCAGCACTGTAACCCATATACAAAAGGTACCCAGTAAAGGGAGGAAAGGAAGAAGGAACATACCTATCCTTAGAATCATTTACTGGATGAAATGGCCTGAGAGATGCTGTTCAGCTCTGCACACTTTTATTGACCTCTGCCAGACCCTGGGGTCATGGAAGTGAATCAGACACTATCCTAGTCTGAAGAAGCTCCCGGGAAAGTGAGGAGCCAAGACTCTCCTGTGCCCTGATCCTAATGACTTTTCTTCTCTGGAAATGAAGAAGCCAGAACCAACCAAGGTCTCACACATTCACCTCTTCCCCAAAACTAACTCCACCACCAAGGGGAGGGAAAGCAAGGGGATGATGATCTGTGGTGGGCATTGGCAGGATTTGCTTGCAGCAAAGTTACTCAGCACTGCTCTGAAGTTGTGGGCAAAGCTCCACCTCTAAGTCCAGCCCCTGCTTTAAAGGACAGGTGTATTGGGGCACAAATGTATGTGCTTGTGTATATACATGGCATGTACTTGTAAAGTATGTGTATGTGCATGGGTAAATATAAATGCATCAGAATAAAGGTGTGCGTTCCTCTAAGTGCTGGTGCCTATGTGTATACATACATATACTAAGATGTATTTAGGTTGCATATTTAGGGGCAAATGTAGCTTTTTGTGTGTGGATGAACATTGGGTATGTGTTTAGATCTTTGTATGAGGATGCACAGTTGTACCTGTACATGTGGATTTACTGACAGATGCACAT